CTACGCTTTGTAAATTCATTCCTTGTAAAGTTGGGTGATTTTGTTAGATATTTAAATTTTTTAATAAAAATATAATATCATTAGTGGGGAAAATGCTAATTACCATTTCATCCTTTTTTAGATGGCTATAAAACTATTATTGATGAAGTTAAAAATCAACCAAAAGTAATTTAATAGTACTAAGTTATTTTACACTATTCTAACAAAATGGTTATGATCTCACTTCGATGAGGATCACACCTTTTACAACCCAATTAATAATTGTGTTAAACTTATTCAAACAATTAATTAAACTATTAGAAACCAGGAAAATTTTTGAAAACACTTTTTATCAAATGATTTTTCATTGCTTTTCCAAGTTAAACACAAGTTTATTGATAAAACACTCAGTTAACTGGAGAGCAAAGTATGGCATCACTTAACATAAAGGAAACCATGAAAACATTAGTAAAATAAAAGGCAAGGTATTAAATATTTAGGACTTAAAAATTTTTTTCCTATTTTAGAACTAAATTTTGCCTATTCTATAGATATAACTTATGTTGTACAAGTTCTTACACTAATTTTGATGATTCAGATCAAAAAATTGTTTTTAAATCCATACGGCATTTACCAAAAAAATTAAATTTATAGTACCTTATAATTTTTTCAGAGCCACAATTGTGACCACTTATTAATCGTCTATATTTTGTTTAAAAAATTTTTAATCTAATAAAAGGGTAGTCTGAATATGTCTCATGGTGTATACATGTCATAAAATGTATGTAAAAAAACGTATTGCGGGAAAACTGGGCTTTTTTTGTCCATGAGCACTGCACTAAAAATGCTCTCAAAATTTTACGCTTTGATCAAACTTGTCTGATTGTAAGCTCTCAGTTGAGACATTCAGCCCAAATCTAACAACAAAATTGCGGCCTATTTAGATCATAACTACTTAATTTAATCTTAAAACTTGATAACATGTATATGCGTCTGCGTTCACAGACAGAGTTCTGTTTCTCGTCAAAATTCAACTTTTTAGTACTGTAATAATACTATTTTTTGAGTTAATACTTGATTTTCCTTTATCTCACAAAAATGCCCATCAATTGTTGCATATAATAAGCGTATGTGTATGTATATGTACACACATCAATATGTTACTAATCACATTTTAGAACTTTTTGAAACAATTTTAACAAACTTTAAATTTTTTATCTTAAAATTAGTACTACCATCGACAGACGAAATTTTAATTTTACTTATACATTTTTTTAATTTCAATGTAAATATGTTGGTAAGTTTTAATCTCTTAGTACATACCTCTATAATTTTTTGCACCTATAATAAGGATTCTCATGATCGGTTCTAATCATCCTTAGCTTATGATTTTGTTTTGGTATACGTACTAAGGCTAAAAAAACCAATGTGATTGGTCAATTTGTTTTTTATTAAAACATATAAACCTCTAAAAATCAATGTTAAAATAAAAAAAGTTTTGCTTTTTGTTCTTAATTATTTTTTTAGTGTTATATTTTATGATTAAAACTTTACAGCAACATTAAGTTCCTGACTAAAAGCATGATTAAAAAAAATTAAATAAAAAAAACAAAAACAAAATTTGATATAGGTAAATTCGGGTGTACGTGTGCATCAATACTCATGTCTCTACAATCTTTTGAAAATATTTAGTAAGCCTAGTTGTTTCTAATCCCGTTCCTAAAGTCGCTTCAATTTTTATCGATATCTTTATTATTTTCAAATTAAGAATCATATGATATTATGTAAATATTTTAAATGACAAATATTAAATTGTGTCCAACAAAAACTTTAGGACTAAACCAAATTTTTAAAGTGACTATAATTATACCTGGATTCAATAAATATTAGTACAACTAATTTAGTGCAACATAAAAATTAAGAAATAAAAATTATTGATAAAAGTTAAGAGCTATGTAATTGGTAGAGATTTTTTTTTTTAATACCTACTACGATTCATTCGAGAAATCACTGGTTTCTCAGCAGACTATTAAATGATTTTATAGAAATTCTACTCAAAATATTTTTAATTATTATTGTTATTATTATTATTATAATGAATATTATCATTATTATTTATCCCAGGAATCAAACTAGTACTTTTTATACTAAAGATATCTAAAGACCACGTTTGTTGAACGCATTATATTTCATTGTTTAGGTGGTAGTCTTATTTGAGTATTGTTTCTAGAAAATAAACACAGAAAAACATCACTGCTTTTTTTCAATTAAATGGTGTAAAACGATTTTTCAGCCATTTAAAAACGATAATTGGCTATTAAATCGTTCAGAAGATATTAAAAAAAAAAAATTACTTTCAAAAGTTTCTTTTTTATAAGCTCTACAAAATTTGTATTCAATACTTTGTTGTAGAATTTAAATTTATTTCTGTAACAGATACCAAATCTTTTTTGACTGTTTTTATGTTTATTTTGCATTATGAAGCGTCTGCATTAATTGCTATCTGCAGCAAAACATACAGTACTAAAAAGTTGAATTTTGACGAGAAACAGAACTCTGTCTGTGAACGCAGACGCATATACATGTTATCAAGTTTTAAGATTAAATTAAGTAGTTATGATCTAAATAGGCCGCAATTTTGTTGTTAGATTTGGGCTGAATGTCTCAGCTGAGGGCTTACAATCAGACAAGTTTGATCAAAGCGTAAAATTTTGAGAGCATTTTTAGTGCAGTGCTCATGGACAAAAAAAGCCCAGTTTTCCCGCAATACGTTTTTTTACATACATTTTATGACATGTATACACCATGAGACATACTCAGACTACCCTTTTATTAGATTAAAAATTTTTTAAACAAAATATAGACGATTAATAAGTGGTCACAATTGTGGCTCTGAAAAAATTATAAGGTACTATAAATTTAATTTTTTTGGTAAATGCCGTATGGATTTAAAAACAATTTTTTGATCTGAATCATCAAAATTAGTCTAAGAACTTGTACAACATAAGTTATATCTATATAATAGGCAAAATTTAGTTCTAAAATAGGAAAAAAATTTTTAAGTCCTCAATATTTAATACCTTGCCTTTTATTTTACTAATGTTTTCATGGTTTCCTTTATGTTAAGTGATGCCATACTTTGCTCTCCAGTTAACTGAGTGTTTTATCAATAAACTTGTGTTTAACTTGGAAAAGCAATGAAAAATCATTTGATAAAAAGTGTTTTCAAAAATTTTCCTGGTTTCTAATAGTTTAATTAATTGTTTGAATAAGTTTAACACAATTATTAATTGGGTTGTAAAAGGTGTGATCCTCATCGAAGTGAGATCATAACCATTTTGTTAGAATAGTGTAAAATAACTTAGTACTATTAAATTACTTTTGGTTGATTTTTAACTTCATCAATAATAGTTTTATAGCCATCTAAAAAAGGATGAAATGGTAATTAGCATTTTCCCCACTAATGATATTATATTTTTATTAAAAAATTTAAATATCTAACAAAATCACCCAACTTTACAAGGAATGAATTTACAAAGCGTAGTCGGTAAGCAACATAAACATGAGAATTAAATACTATTATCAAAAAAAAGTTTTGTACTACCATAAAAAAAAATCGTAAAAAAAAAAAAATTCTGCTGCGAGCGAGATTTGAACCCCAGAATGCTCAAAGCAAAATTACACAATGCGGTACTTAGTTACCTTGACTACCAACGCACTCTTTTCTTTAGCACTTACAGTGACACATGTTTATCGTGAAGCTCCAGGGTTTAAGCTTAAGTATTAGTTTATTTTTTCTTTATATTGATAATTGTGTTAAAGTTTGGCCTACAAGTAGAATTATTTTTCTAAATATTTTCACAATTACTTATTCTTATTAGAAAAGTTACATGTGTTGAAGAATGATATTTTAATTACAGAAAAAGTCATTCTCTATTGAATAAACTTAAAAATCAAAGTGAAGCGTGTGTGTATTATTCTGATATTTTTAATGTGCTAAATTTTTATAAATCTATAAAAACATAAATTATTCAAGTTGTAAAAATGATTATTTTATAGAGATCAAGTTTCAAGAAGTTACATTAAATATCGGGGCTTACGTTTTTATTACTCAATTTTTTATTTTATACGAGGAAAACTCAGTATTTAGCTGTACAAGTATTTAATACACATTTAAAAAGGAATATATGACCAGACATATAATAACTGTCCAAAATTTAAAACTGCTCTTGAGGGAACATCACATCAGGAATAGATATAGGTATACGCTTGCATGTGAGAGCTGCGAGCTGCGAGAGCCAGGAGCCGAGAGCCGAGGCAGCTAGAATACAAAACATATATAGCTATACCCGTTTATACGCACATATTCCTTCCCCCTCTCCTAGGTACCTATCGTACGCACAATTTGGTCTTCTCCTCCGCTGCTGAAACGTGCGTATAGTTCGGCTGTTTTGCCGCGACGGGGTGCTCAAAACAGTGGGACAAAAGCGACACACTCTCTACCATAGGCGCTGGCAATCTTCCCTCTAATCTCTGCCTGTACTGTGCCCAAAGTTTTGCGTGCTTCGTGAGTCACGTCGATAATAGCTACTTGATACCAACTGTCTATTAGCATGTCTATGCTAAGAAAATTTTTCTTTATAATCGAAATCTCTGCTCCTGTATCCACAAAAAAAGTCGCCTTTCCATTTTTTAACTGTGGTCCCCGTAACTGGACCGATGGTGGCGTATGCCCTGTTTCCGAAAGCTTTATAGTTATTTTGGGAAGTTGCTATGTTTCTTCATCACACTTTAAAAGTTTTAATTCGTCATTCTCTATATATGTGTCCAGCGCCTTTATCCGATTACTCTTTCTGCGGGCCTTCCTGCCTCACCTCGTGTGTCTGCCCCCCTGTTGTGTAGGAGTGTCTTCGCACTTTGCAGTGTTGCATTTTATACTTCCCAGATCTGCGTAAGTACTCGGAATGTTCATGTGCGATTCCACCTCCACTATTTTTGCTCTGCCTCTTGCAGCCTCTTCCTCACACCTTCTCTCTCGCCAGACACGCTTCTCTCCGTTTCTTTCTCGAATTCATGTTTGACGTTTGAGGAGCATGCCGAACATCTTGCGAGTTTAAAGCTGCGGGTGCGTCTCTTCTATTGTCAGGACCATGTGCGCCGTTTTGTCGCTGCTGTGGGCCCTTATCCTGTGGAGGCCTGTTTCTAACTGGGTCCCTGTTATAGCCGTTCCTGCTGTCTTGATTCTTATTGTTGTTTCCATAAAGGTTGAATGTTTCCCCGTTATTGTTATTATATGGGTCACCGTAGCCACGGTTGGAGTAATCATTACCGCCCGTGGGATTGTAGTTATTGTACCTGTTATTGTAATCATTCCTATCATTATAATTGGTATTTCTATTGTTGTAATTGCTGTTTCCGTTATTTCCAGTATTGTAATTGCTGTTTCTGTTATTGTAGTTGTTGTTCTTATTGTAGTAGTTATTATTCCTGTTATAAGGCTCTGTTGCGCCATTATTAAAGCTCCTGTTATAATTATTATCATTATAATTGTAAGCATCATCATTTCCATTCCCATAACTTTTGGCGTTTCTGTTGGTATTAGTATTATCTACGGGTTGGTAATGCCCCTCGTTTCGCTGTCTTTCCTTCTCCTCCCTGTCCTGCTTACCTGAAAGGCATTCCCTCGCATAGTGTCCCGGTTTCTGACAATAATTACAGTTACCCTTTGGTTCTCTCCCATTATCTCTTAGCATTTTTCTGTCGTTCATCACCGCTAGCAGTTATGGCATTCCTCGACTGAATGCCTGGTTAGGCCGTCGCACTATATTCAGCTTTTTACGTTTTCTGCTGCTGCTGCGGCTTCTTGTGCCCCATTGGTGGTTTTTGTTGTTCTTTCTGCTATATTTGCCAGATTTAGTTTTTGCCCCTATTCGGTTGTTGCTTTATTATGTGCGGGCAGTGTACGTTCTGTTATCGCATGGCGCAAGCTAAGATCGCTCTCTATTTTTAGCGCCTCTATAATTGCTTTGCAGAGGGTCCTTGGGCTTAAACATGTAACTTTACATCTATATGTTGGGTGCAGGCCATATGTAAATTGTTTTACTGCCTCTGCCTCTGCACTTTCTTTCAGAATCTGCTTCTGAATGGTGAGTAGGCTTGAGTTAGAATCATGCAGCATCGTCAGCTTATTATACAGTCCTTGTACTCTTCTACCGTAATCCTCTATCGATCTCCGGTTTTGCTGTCTAATTATCTTTAGCTGTGCCATAAGCAAGTTCGAATTATTAATGCTACCATATCTCCTCGAAAGTTCCCGAAGAAATTCCTGAACTGTTGCGAATTGAGCCAGTCTGGGCACGAAATGTTCAGCTGCTCTTCCCTTTAGTCTTCTAGCATATGTGCCGAGAAAAAATTATTCATTTTTTGGTTCCACCCTTTCCGCAGTCATCCTTACTATCCTTTCGAATGTTGGCAGGATAATTGGGTCTCCATCAAAGAACGGGATATTGCTTGCCATATGACTGAGCGTAGGCAGAATGTTTAGTTGCGCGTTTTGTGGTCTGAGTGGGTTGTTATGGTTGTTTGTAGCCTGTATGTATTATGTGTGTTGGGCCCTGGTAGGTGCTAAATCACCCCATATTCTATCCCTATTTACTTCAGAATCGACTCGATTTGTGTAATTATTATTTGGCGAAGGTACTGTTGCTATGAATGCGGCTTACTTCATTCTTTCGAGTTCCTTGCTCATATTTTTTATTCTGTTCCACATCTGTTGATTGAATAAGTCTCTTATTATGGCGTTACTTTATCCTTTATATTCGTAACCAGATGCACCCAAAACCGGTTGCTCTGATTTCTCCGGTATGCCCCCTTGTGTTGATAACATTCCGATTTTGTTTTTTCGAACTCCACGTATTTCTTCAGCTCTTCTCGTATTTCGCTCGCTGACTATTCCACTCGAAAAAAGATCCGCTTCTTTGTTCATACATCCTGCCTTTACATCTGTATCACAAGATATATTCCTGTAATCTCCATGCGTCGGTGAAGAATTTTATATGGTTTTTGTGACCACCTTGTGCAGGACCTCCACCTCCTCTACTTTCTTTAGCTTTGCTCTGATTCTTGAAAATAACCCCATTACTATAGCCTTAGTCTTTTCGTCTAGGGCATCAAGTTTTTCACACCCTTCTGGTTCAAGCTCTTATTCTAACATTTGCTCCGTCATATTTTCTTATTGCTGTCTTCTACTGGGCCCTGGCATGCCCCTGTCGGCTATAATATCAGTACCCGGGCATTCGTTATAGCCTTTCAGCTCGTTAATAAAGTCACCGAACAGAGTCATTTTTCTTTCTCCTTCTTATATCTATATATGTGTCGTGCATCGTATTTCCTTTATTGATTGTAATAAATCTTGTTTACTTTCCTAGCTGTAGGGCTGTACTTCATAACTTACGTGGCGGCTCAATAATAATTTGACGAATAGAAACGTAAGTGGCGAGATAAGGTAACAAAAGAGCGGATCTCGTCTTTCTCTTGACTTTTCCTTTTTATCGCTATATTTTTGTTTGGTAGTAATTGGGGGGAACTATTCTTTTGGGGCTGTCTATCGGTTATTTTCGTTAAAAAAATAATAATAATAGAGATAGTTATAAATTCCTCAGCCAATATGGGTGTAAGTAAATAATTACGGATGTCCCCTGTATCTGTACTAGGCATACTAATAAGATCTCTTTGTTTTCCGTTTTTTATTCAAAAATTTGTCTAGTCAATTGTATATCTAAGTTTGTTATCCCGCTTGAATTTTTGTTTCAAGTCTCAAGAGAAAAACCACCTAAAAAAGGGTAGCCGGCGAAATAATAAATACATATTGAAATTAAAAAGTTTCCCTAACCCTATTTATCCTAATAAAAGCCTCGGGAGTAAGGGAAAAAAATAATTTTACTACAAATTTACTTACGTGCTCGTCGCTATGCACACCAATAGAAATAAGGTTTTGGAGACCGTTTCCCTCACCTTTTGTCTGCTTGATCCCGTGATTATCAGCAATGAGTACCCTAGTTCTACTGGCTTTAAGGCTGCTGTCAGCGCTGCTCGTAAATCGGTTGTGTCGTTTCAGGTTACACCCTCGGCTTCTTGATTTCAAGTCGTCGTATTCTCGCGTCACTGCACTATGTGGGCTTCTTAGCGGAATTTTTTTTTGAAACACGTAAAATAAAAAAAAATTTCGATTCTCACCAAACCCCACACTTAGCACCAAAACTGTCACGTGGAAATAATATTGGTGAGAAGGTGCGTCACGATAATGATCAACAATTGTTATATAAAGAGCTTTATTAAAAATACCGAAATTAAAGGCAAAGTAGTACGTGTTCTTGGTCTGTCCGATCTACTTTGTTCACCTGACCCCCTTGAACTCCCTGACTCGTTAATTGCGCGATTGCTGCCCAAGTTCCACGATTAGAGACCGACTGCCAAGTGCCGAGAGCTGCGACTAGCGAGTCCGACTGAGTGCCCGAGTGCGAAGTGCCCCGACTAGAGGCTCGCTGGGTCTTATATAACCTCGTCCCCCTCCTGTCGATGGTCTCTTGCTGAGATCGCATCGCTGTTGTCAAGGAGGGTCAGTATGATATGCCCTGCATATCGTACGTGACAAAAGGTAATAATATCATTTTTTTGAATGTCTCAAATTTCTTGTATTTTACTTTTATTATTTAGAAGTTATTTTAATTCATCTATAACTGATTAAAAAAAAAACAGTTTGATGATTGAATAAAAAAAAAGGCTTATAACAAGCATTTATTAATTTAATAATATTAGTTTATTTTATCGTGTCCTACTTAATTGAAAAACAAAATCTTGTAATAAATTGAAATACTTGTAGAACTTTTTATTTTAATTCTTCAAAAATTAATAACTAACATAAATGTTTTTTTTCCAATAAAATAGTCTAGTATGTTATCCAAATTTTTATTAATTTTTAATTTTTTTTATCTTATTTAAAAAATTTATTAAAAAATTCAGTCTTATCTTTAAACGATTATGTAAACTATATGTCTTATTTAACATCCATTAATTAATTTATATAAATTAATTTGATGATATGGTAAGGGCTGGCTTTCTCCTTACATATAAAGTATTTAATAATAAACGTATATCTTTTAATTCTCTTTCTTAACTTATTTTGTATAATTATTGTAATTTATTTTAGTGTCTTTGTCAATGTGGGAATTTTTCTCTAAGTTAAAAAAAATTCTCTATCGTTAATATGTTTCATTAGGTTATCTTTAATTCGCATCGGCTCTACGTGCGCATATAAGTCGCTTATTGAGTTTGTGAATAGTCGGATACAATATTATACGCTCCATTTTATCTGAGGGGTCATATAACATATTCAAGAACACTGTAGAGTCAGATAGTTTGACGATTAATTGCCTTACATTTCACTAGCTTTTTTTTTTGGTCGAGACAAGCTTGGAGGTATGAATAAAAAAAACCGTTTTCTGGCGGTAAAGTTTTGACCAGTATTGTACATATTTCTAATATTTTTCATCCATACCTTTTTTTATATAATGATTCCCTCATACTCCTTCAATTTCTTTTTTCATGTGGTCAGATTTAGGAAGGGATTTATAAGGGTATTTTTTTTTGTCACCTACCACTCTCGACGCCGTAGACATATTTGCTGACCTAGTTCGCTGCTTTTTCGATTTTTTTTTTTTTTTTTTTTTTTACAACAACAAAGCTCTCATTTTTTATCTCTAATGTCTCGGGAAAGTGTACTTTTTAAGATGTTTGTGTGGCGACTGAGTTCTCAAAGCTGAGCTTCAACTCTACTTGCGTCACAGCGTGATTTTTTTTTTGTGCCAGTAGAATCTCCGTGTGTGGTCCTCATGGATGCAATTTTATTTCTTTCTTTCTTGCAAAAGCAGGAGCAGCTCGCGTTTACTGCTGCGCAAAGTTGTTATGTAAGTGACAGCTTATGTGATTGCAAGCGTCTTTTATTTTTTTCCAGTTAAGCATGCAGGTTGTAGATTCGTATGCCTTCTCTCTAATATCGACGACCCTGTTTGAATGAGGGTGGCGTAGTCACGTTGTCCTTCGATGGCCAAGTTCTCAGAAACACTGCCACACACTGGGTGTGGTCGATTATTTCTCTCGATCGTCGAGGTGATCTGGGTGCATTATTTTTAGTCTCCGTTACATTAACGATTAAGTACTGGTCCATGTAGTTTTTGCAAAATTATGCTAACCTTAAGGTGAACGGTTTGACGAACGGGCTATTCGTTAATTTAGACATGACAGTCAATTCTATATCCCATTACGATTATGTGTGACGTTTCAGGTGTTATGGTTATCAGTATATCATGATGATAGAAGTGGGATAGTTTCTAATGGAGAACAATAGAAGGAAGTAAGAAGAGGAGGATTAATCTCTTATACTCGACGTGGGCTTGTGGGCTTTTAAAAAAAAAAGTTTTATTTTTCCTGAAATTGTTTTATGTATTCTTTATCGTTCTTTCATGCTCCTCTCTACCTAACAATGATTGCTAAAATTTTTTTTTTTATATTTTTTTTTTTTTTATAACAATGAAGTTAATCAGGTAATTAAGAATAAAATTATTTCAACTTACAAGTATATGTCAGCTAATACGTCTGTTTTTTCCTTTTTATTTGTATTTACCATCCATAATTAGTACATTTGGCCTGTGAGTTCATTCTACTCCTATTGACTACGTTTACTCACCAGAAAGAGCCACACGCGCCCCTC